TTCTTTCCAAGCAAGACAAATTTTAGATCAGTTTGTTGACAATTCATGGCTTAACCTACCTGTCCATTTGGATAAGCTTTCTCCACCCTGCTGTTACACCCTCAGAATTCATTGACCAGATGTTGTCATGACTGGAGATCTTCCTCCTGTCTCCCAAGGTCATTCTCACTAACATTACAAGCTCTTCAAACACTTCCCTGAAGGTGTGGAGTAGGGGAAAGGGTTGATCCCTCAGGGGATAAAGCAGCCTTTTGGCAAAAATATCAGATGGATTTCCCCTGTGTTTCCTACTGCCCACTCTAGGAAGAATTGAAGCCAGTGATAAGTAATGGGTTTAATACCCAACTTTCAATCAACCAAGGAAACTATTTTAATTGGTTTCACTGAAAGACATCACAATCCTCCCAGTGTGATGAAATGTGCTTCAATTGTGCCATCAGCCAAAAGCCGTGGGATCCCATTCTGAATTCTGCAGAGGATTCCCATTTTGTTCATAGGATTTCTCTGCTTGGTGAAAGAAAACTGTCACATTATTCTTGGGATTATGTGTTTCTTGGGAAATTTGTTTCCTTTTTCAGGATGTTGTGTCTTTTGAGGAAGTGGCTGTGTATTTCTCAGAGGAGGAGTGGTCTCAGCTGGATCCTTCCCAAAAAGCTCTCTATTGGGAAGTCATGCTGGAGAATTCAAGGAATCTGGTTTACCTGGGTAAGAACCTCTGTCTTTGCTCAGGGACCTAGAGAACGGATGGGTGTGCGGAAGGCTTAGAAATTTCTGATAAAAAGATCATTTTTTATTTATATCTTGCCTTTTTTTTTGCAAGTAAATTAAGGCAGTGGACACAACCATTACTCCTTCCTTTTCCTGTTTTCCCCTAATTATAACACTCTGATATGGGTTGGGCTGAGAGAGACTGGCCCAAAGTCACCGAGCCAGCATTCATGCTTAAGATGGAACTAGAACTCAGAATCTTCCATTTCCTAGCTTGGTGCTTTATCCATTGGACCAAACTGATTGAAATGTGCCCACTTGTGGTCTGAGTTTGGTATCAATCTAAGTTGAGAGTGGGAAGCTATCGCCATCCAGAAATTTTATTGACTCTGCAGTGAGATAGAGATTTTTCACTGAGGTTGGGAGGTTGGTGGGTATATTGGCGCCCAATCATTATACCGTGTCCAAAGCCCTTTGAGAGTTTGTGACCCCATGGAATTGTCCTGGGTCGCCAAGGGGCTCACATACAATGGCTCTCAAAGATTAGATCAATAATTTTTCTTTGTTTCTTTGGAAATCTGTCTTTGGAAACATCATAGTTTGAAATGTTTGTAACAAAACAGCCAAAATATATCGATGAGTCTTTTGCTAAAATTCTGATTTGATCCTTTTCCTAATTTGCTACATTTTTCTATTTCAAGGCTATAATGAGCAAGTGAATAAGAATCATAAGGAACAATGTCAACTGGTCCATCCAAAAGAGAAAAACAGGAATTTTGCCGATCAGATGCAAACAAAAATTGATGAAACAAACCGATCACAAAGTGAAATTAAAAAAAGCTTTCCTTCGGCCAATCATCTTCTTAACCATACAATCATTGATACGGGAGAAATATCATATAAATATATGGATTGTGAAAAGAGCTTTAATAAATCTGAGCATCTCATTTCCCACAAAAAAACACATTCAGAAGACAAACAATATACCTGCATGGAATCTGGAAAGACCATCTATTGTTATGACTCTCTTACAATCCATCAAAGGAATCACACAGGAGAGAAACCATATCAATGCATGGATTGTGGAAAGACCTTTAATTGTAGCATATATCTTCATTCCCACAAGAGGATCCACACAGGCGAGAAGCCTTATAAATGCATAGAGTGTGGAAAGGCCTTTAATTGTAGCAGTAATCTTTATTCCCACAAAAGGATCCACACAGGAGAGAAGCCTTATAAATGCACGGAGTGTGGAAAGGCCTTTAATTGTAGCAGTAATCTTAATTCCCATAAGAGGATCCACACAGGAGAGAAGCCTTATAAATGCATGGAGTGTGGAAAGGCCTTTAATTGTAACAATAGTCTTAATTCCCACAAGAGGATCCACACAGGAGAGACAAGATATCAATGCATAGTGTGTGGAAAGAACCTTAGTTGTAGCAGTAGTCTTAATTCCCACATGAGGATCCACACAGGAGAGAAACCATATGTATGTCTTGAATGTGGAAAGAGTTTTAGTTGGAATTGTGCTCTCACCTCCCATAAAAGGATCCACACAGGAGAGAAGCCATATCAATGTATGGAATGTGGAAAGGGCTTTAGGAAGAATGGTGATCTTACTTCCCATAAAAGGATCCACACAGGAGAGAAGCCATATGAATGCATGGAGTGTGGAAAGAGCTTTCGAAGAAGATACACTCTTACTTGCCATAAAAAGATCCACAAACAGGAGAAGCCATATCAATACAGCTGATGAAAATAACTGAATTCAGATATACTGTGAGACAGTGACTAGAGATAACCAAAAGGGCCGAAAAAGTATTTTTCAGTCTAAAACAACCTTTGTGTCATTCGCTCCTCTCCATATAGAAACGTATACACATTCTATGAAAGAAGGTTCAGATGAAGAGTTCTGAAAAGGAGCCACAACTGTGAGAAGTTCTATAAGCACACATGGTTTTTCTCCAGTGAATGTGCCAAATTCTGTTTTCCTGTGGAATGACAAAGTCCCAGACAAAATTTAAAATTGTTTTTTTTTGGGGGGGGTACATATACCTGTAGCCTTAGATTAAATTAAAGAAGTACAGTCTCGGTGTCATTATTTAACAGGTGGTCAATGTATCCCAAAGGAAAAGGGGAATTCAAAGTATTCTGGCATCAGTAGCTGTCGAGCATCAACTGAGGAAAGGGACTTTTGAAAACTGCAGAGCCTGAAATAAAGTTAGGGCAATCGCTGCAGGAATTGGCGGTAGAGATCTGCTACATTGGGATGTGATGCAATTCATTAAAGAATTAATACTACTATGGTTTTGGGAATCTCACTCCAGTTTGAAATCATTTACTGAAAAGAGGGCTTAGCAATATGCTGTCAGATCTCTGAGGTAGCCACAGCGGAATCATGACCAGATAGGGTAACTCTTTTGTAAATCGATTGCACTCTGTTGTAAGGCTGTATTAATAAAATTGTGCAAGTCTGAAGGTACAAATCTGCCGTTCCTTAAAGTTGCTTCTAACTGCAAGATGGAGGGCATATGCATTGAATAAATAAATAATAAATAGCAGTCTGATATATCAATGCACATTGTTTTTAAGATTCCTTCCTTGCCAGTTATGCAACTGCATATTACTCCATCTTTTAATTGATATTTCTCTGAGTAGCATCTATTTCCCTTGTCCCTCAAGGGGATTCCCAAATAGCCATACCTTTAAATCTACTAGCTTTGTCCAAAGGCAGTAATTTTCAAGGAAGATTCTTTTAGAGGAAAATGACTGACTAACCAAGCATTCAAGAAGAAGGTAGGTGAGTCATAAACAGATTTTATAGGACTACATGACATACAGAATACAGATGGGAGAATATTTCTTGCTGAGTGAGATGAGAGGTCCCAGGTGCTCTCTGAGTTTAGTTATTTTGCAGACATTTCGTTACCAAAAACTAGGTGACATCATCAGTGCTAGTAAGGAATGGGGTTTGCTCTCAGTTTATATTTTAGTGGCTCGTCCTTTCGCTTTTGGTGGGGTTGATCAGAAGAGGTTCTTTTGTAGGGCTGCTTAATGTTAGCTTGCTTGTCAATTCCTTGTTGGGGGAATTTACTTCTTGATTGTTGATCTGGGTTAATCTTGGAATTAATCTGTGGTCATCTAGGTGCTGATTGCTGGTGAGGAGGTGTTTTGGTCCTTTTGTTTCCCTTTAGGCTTATTGATTTGACTCTTTTTCATAGAATGTAGATATTGTTTATATCTACCGTATGTGTGTACTGATGGCTAATTAGTTAAGAGTACCAGTCTTCTAGAGATTCTCTAGCATTTTTGGACTTGGCTTGGTCCACGATGGTCACAATTTCCCAGTTCAAACTATGGTTAAGTTTATCCACATGTTGTAGGATCAAAGAGTTTTCATGTTTTTTGACTGGTAGTTGCTATTTATGGATGCATTGTACCAGTTTTCTGCCTGTTTGTTCTACATGGTGGCTGTTGCAGTCATTACACTGTATGTTATAGTTCAGGGGTCACCAACCTTTTGGACCTCAGGGACCACTAGATTCATAATTTTCAATCCCCCGGAGCACTAATATGAATCCATTGTGCTGCTCACTGAAGTGCCTGGACTCCCAGTGACGGGATGGGGTACTTAGCTTGGTCCCCTGTTTCTGCAATCTTAAACACTCAAAGAGCCATTTGGACCCATTACCCACAGAAAACAGAACACTGGTCTCCCTCCCTCCCTCCCTCCCTCCCTCC